TTCTTTTTTATTCTGGGCCAGCTTTAGCTCTGAGGCTTGGCTCCAGCTCTTAGGCCTCCGCTGCTGAAAGAAGGCTTCTGGCCTTTGCTTACAATGTTGCGATTCCCGCTGAAAGCAGGTTTCTGGGGTTTTGTTTAGCTTCTATATTTGTTACATAGTTTCTTAAACTGCAGGCTCAGAGGCCTGCAGTGGCAGGCGGGGAAAGTTGGAGTCCTCCATCACTGAAGCAAGCAAGCCCCATGTTAGTTTCAAGCTGCCTGGCTGCAGGCCGCCATCTTGGCTGGCAGTTAATTTGCATATCTCGCTGATTAGCCAATGGGAAGGGTAGCAGTCATACGCCAATTACCATGTTTCTTTTTTATTAGATAGGATATATATATATTACAATCCTTTGTATTTCTGTGGGTCTGTTCTTATTCTACCTCTTTCATTTTTGATTTTTTAAATTTGGGTCCTCTGTCTTTGCTTCTTGGTGAGCCTGGCTAGAAGATCATCAATCTTTTTTGTCCTTTCAAAGAACCAGCTCTTGGTTTTTTTAATCTTTTGTATTGTTTTTTTTGGTCTCTATGTCATTTATTTCTGCTCTGATCTTTATTATTTCCTTCCTTCTGCTCACTCTAAGCTTTTCTTGCTGCTCTCTTTCTAATTATTTAAATTATAGAGTTAGATAATTTATCAGCATTTTTTCTTATATTTTGAGATGCTATGAACTTCCTTCTTAGGACTGCTTTCACTGTGTCCCATAGATTTTGGATTGTTGTGTTTTTATTGTCATTTGTTTCTAGAATGTTTTTAATTTCTTCTTTGATCTCTTTGGTAACCCAACCATTGTTTAATAGCATGCTATTTAGCCTATAAGCATGATTTGTTTTTATTGTAGTTGATTTCTAATATTATGCCATTGTGGTCTGAGAAGATGCTTGATATGATTTCAGTCTTCTTGAATTTGGAGAGATGTTGCCTGTGACCCAGTATATGGTCTATCTTTTACAATGTCCCATGTGCACTTGAAAAGAATGTATATTCCATAGCTTTGGGATGAAATGTTCTGAAGATATCAATTAAATCCATCTGATCTAGTGAGTCATTTAGAATTGCTCTTTTTTGCTGATTTTTTATCTAGAGAATTCATTCAGTGATGTCAATGGGTGTTAAAGTCCCCTACTATGATTTTTTGCTGTTGATCTCTCCCTTGATATCCTGTAAAAGTTTTTTTTTAAATGTATTTGGGTGCCTCTGCATTGGGTGCATATATGTTTACCAGAGTTATATCCTCTTGTTGTATCAATCCCTTTAGTATTATGAAGTGGCCTTCCTTATCTCTTGTTATGGTCTTCACTTTGAAGTCTATTTTGTCAGATATAAGTATTGCTACCCCAGCTTTTTTTTCATTTCCATTTGCCTGGAAGATATTTTTCCATCCCTTCATTTTTAGTCTGAATGAGTCCCTTGTTCTGAGGTGGGTCTCTTGTAGACAGCATATATATGGGTCATGTTTTCTTATCCATTTAGCCACTCGATGTATTTTGATTGGAGCATTTAGTTAATTTATGTTTAATGTTATTATTGATAGATACTTATTTGTAGCCATTTCTTTTTGTGTGCCTGTGTTCCTTTTCCCCTTTCTATTCCTTCTTTCTACGACAGTCCCTTTAGCATTTCTTGCAGTGCTGGTTTGATAGTGATAAACTCCCTTAGCCTTTTTTTGTCTTTGAAGCTCTTGATTCCCCTTCAATTTTGAATGATAACCTTACGGGATAGAGTATTCTTGGATTCATTTCCTTGGTTTGCATCACTTTGTATACTTCATTCCAGTCCCTTCTGACCTGATGTGTTTCTGTTGATAAATCATTTGATAATCTAATGGGATCCCCTGTAGGTAACTTTCTGTCTCTTGCAGCCTTTAAGATCCTCTCTTTGTCATTAATATTTGCCACTGTTATTATGAGGTGCCTTGCTGTGGGTCTCTATGGGTTCATCTTGTTTGGGACTCTCTGTGCATGTGTGATGTTTTTATTACCCCAAATCCTGGAGTTTTCTGTCATTTTTTCAAATAGGTTTTCTAAACCTTTTTTCTCCTTTTGTCCTTCTGGCACCCCTATTATACATATGCTATTTCATTTCTTGTTGTCCCAAAGCTCCAGTAGGTCCTCTTCCTGCTTTTTAATGTTTTTATCCAATTGCTGTTCAGATTGGGTGTGTTTTTCCTGCCCTTTCTTCTAATTTGCGAATTCGTTTCTCCACTTCTAGTCTACTGTTGAAACCTCTGTTATATTTTTATTGTAGCTATATCACTCTTTATTTCCTCATTATTCATACATAAGTTGTTGATTTTCTCATCCAGCCGGTTTAGAAATTATATGATCCTTACTCTGAATTGTTTCTTGACATATCGCATGCCTCTTTTCATTTAGTACCTTTTCTGGTGACTCCTTTTCCCCTTTCCTTTGGGGGTTATGTCTTTGTCTCCCCGTTTTTGCTCTCACAGGAAGATGTAGGTGCTGAGTCATGTGGGGCCTGGCTGCAGCGGTGGGCTCAGTATTAGGGTCATGCTCTCTGAAACTTCCTGGTGGGCCCAGGTGCCAGGACACAGGAGGCCTGTGGTTAAAGCAGCAGGCTTGGCATGTGGGTTGCACAGTCCCAGAGTTGCTAGTGGGCCCAATCACCAGGTCATGCAGTGCCTGGTGATTGAAGCAGTGGCTTTCCAGATGGGTTGTACAGTTGCAGGGCCTGGGGCCAAAGTGGCTTACAGTAGGGGAACATGCTCTAGAACTCATAGAAGCCTGCAGCTGCAGGGAATGGAGTCCCAGTGTCTGTGGGTCTGCAGATGAAGTAGCAGGTCTTTTTTCAGAGTGGCTGTAGGTTCTGGGGTGATGTCTGAGGCCAACTGGGTATTGGTGAGAGTGGGCTTATAGTCACAGAAGCTCTCCCCTTCAAGATAGCATGGTTTCTCTGTCAGAGCTGGCCACCTCAGGAGTGACTGCAGAGGTTCAGGGCCTCCACACCTGGAGAGCCCAGTCCACCAGCCCCTGTAAGTCCTGCAGGATCTAACTGTCCCTCACTCAAACACACATACACACCACACATCCATCCACTCCTCTTTTGCTCCCTCCCTCACTCACACTCTCTTCCTTACTACTGTCTTTCCAGCCACCATTTGGCTGTCCTCTGATTTTTTAAAATGCACTAAGGTGTTATTTAATTATTGAGTTTTTGTTCCTTTATGCTCTTAAAATTTCCACTATCACAGTCTTGGTCCTGTATATAATTTGAGGAAAGTTGGTAAATTTAAATTGGATTTAATCAAAGCAATATTTTTATTTGAGCAAAGCAAACAGAAACTTAATTTCTTACTGGGCATGTTCAAGAGAATGTCTTGCCCTGGCTGGTGTTTCTTGGTTGTTGGAGTGTCAACCTGCACACCAAACAATGGAAAAAAATAACCTCTGGTGTGGATGAACAAAAACAAACAAACAAACAAACAAACAAAAGAGTAGGTCTTTTAATAAGAGAAAAGGCTGATTATGGTAGATTCTGCTCTCTATTTTGACGGTTTACTAGCAATATATATAATAGATACATTTATATAATAACATGATCAACCCAACCCATCTCTACCTCTAAATCACCCAGTCTAAGTGATGAAGCAGTTATTGCATACATTTGAATTATTCTCATTTTTAAAATTAGACATAACTAAATATATATATAAGGGCTGAAGTAGATAAACATTTATGTCCTTCCTATTTTTAAAATTCAACAATTCTTATTTAGTGATTGTTAGGATGCTCGGGAACAGAGATGAGAAATCTAGTATGGAATAGGAACAGTTAAGTGATCTCTGGGCTTGTTATCAGTATTTCATTATGGATACTATTTCTCTCCCATTTTGTTTAGAATAAGAGAAAACTCTATTTTCACATTGGATAGGGAATGAAGGGATACAAGTGATCAATTTAGCAAAAATAAGGTTGCTCATTTTAACAATATAGAACCATTTGAATCATGTTGCTGTTTATCTGTTTCATACAAAAGAAAGTCTAGCAGGCTTAAAATGACAGAGTCTCTTTTTAATCCTAGTTCTACCCCCTGCTACTATTTAATGTGAGGTAAATTATAAACCTCTGTAGGGAATCACATTATAATGTCCAGAGTGAGTTTATTATTTCTTCAATGATAATTGTAATTATGTATTATAACTTATTTTTTTTCTTTCAGCTGCTAGAGGTGCTCAATTTGCTTGTTATGATGAGATAAATTCAAGAGGAGATAGATATGGAAACTGTGGAAAAGGTCTTTGTTCTTTTCCGTATGTATTAGGCAATTCTAATTTTGTTTGTAATGTAGCTAAGATCCTAGAATATATTATTATGTACAGGCTAAAGTGGTATTTTATACCAGGTTTTCTTTGTTTCATTATCTGAGAACAATGTTATTACTTATTGCTTACAAATAACGTGTGCCTATAATGTTACAACAACAATGACCATAAAATAGCCTCTGTTTATTGTTGTGATGAGCTAGGCATTGTGTTAGGTAGTTTATATACATTATATAATAAATATATTTAATACATCACACATTTATAATAAGAGCTATTCTATTTTACTAATGAAAAAAAATTGAAGACCAGCAACCATTGGTTTAAATATCAGAAGCCAATATAGGAGAGATCAGGGTAATCAAATTGCAAAAATCATTAATCTTTTCCCTTGCCACATTGCCTCACAAAACAAAAAGGCACACATCATACATAACTCAGTGGACTCAGAAAATTACTGAGAAAACTCTTGAAACCTGGATTTAAGTCAGTGACATACCTTTTTAACTTAGCCATATCAGCAATCTATGTTAATATGAGAATGTTTTTTTCTGCCTTATGCTTCTAGTCATCTCATGTGTGGAAAATTAGTTTGTGCCTGGCCACATAAAGCAATAGTATCAAAAGCAAATTTATCTGTGATTTACACACAAATACGAAATGAAATATGTGTGTCTACATTTCTAAGCTCGGACAGGATACCTGCCAATGACAGAACAACAGTAAATACTCCTGAAGATAGAGATAAAACATTTATAGAAGATGGCACTTCGTGTGGTCCTGATATGGTAATTAGAACTATAAAATTATAAGTGTTTTCAACATCTTTTATGGTTATACTCATTTTGACAATATACCAACCAATGAACTTTAAAATAACCTGATTGAGGCATCATTTACATAAAATTCACCTATGATAAGGGTGTAATTAATTGCTTTTGATTAATTTAGAGTTGTACAACCATCAGCACATCCAGTTTTAGACCATACCATCACATCTTCCCTCTTGCCCACTTGCCCATCCCTAGCCCTAAGCTACACAGCCAGTTTCCTCTGTTAACATTTAGCACTAGTATGATACATTTGTCATAATTGATAAACTAATGTTGATGCATTATTATTAACTAAATCTAGTAGTACATTCAGATTCCCTTAGCTTTTACTTAATGACCTTTTCTAGGATTCAGTCCAGAGTACCACTTTGCATTTATTTGCTGTGTGTATTTAGGCTCCTCTTAACAGTACAGTTTCTTAAATGTCCATCTCCCCCTCCCCCCTTTTTTTGGGAAGAAGATCACATCATATCAAATATACATGCTTGTTGATATTAATTTTGATCACACGGGTGTGGTAATATTTGACAAATTTATCACTGTAAATTATTTTTTCTTTCTATATTGTACTTCATTGAAAGAAATTACTATGCATAGCCCACACCTAACGAGTAATAAGTTGTGTTCCATCTTCTTGGAAATTCAGTATTATTCCGTATCATTAAATCATTTTGAATTCTGCATAGTTTTGTCTATTTTTCTCTATTTATTCAATCATATATTTGTAGCAGTATGGAATCCATGGATATTTATATTATAGTTTCGGTTATTATCCAGTATGACTTTATTTTATTGTTCAAATTGTTCTAACTCTGGCTATTGGGAGTTCTTTCAACTTATTTCTAGGTTGCTTTGACATACTATTATCATTGTGTGTGCTTTTCTTTTGGAGTGCTTCCTTACTTTCTGGAATGACAAACTGTTCTAGGTCCATTTTGTATATTTTGTGTCTTAGTTCCTAGAATTTGCATTCTCCCAGGAGTCCTGGTTTATTTTAACTAGAAATGACAGTTAGAAACCAAGATCTAGGGCTAATTGTGCTTTTGCTACTGGAGTTTCACTGGTTTGGCCCTATCAGTAGTCAGAACTAGGAAATATGTATCTGACTGGTGTGGCTCAGTTGGCTGAGCATCATCTCATTCACCAAGAGGTCACTGATTTCATTCCTGGTCAGGGCACAGGCTCCAGTTGCAGGCTCAATTCCCCCATGGGGGGCATATAAGAGGCAGCTGATTGATGTTTCTCTCTAATCAATGTTTCTATCTCTCTCTCCCCATCCCTTCTTCTCTCTATCAAATTAATAAAAACAATATTTAAAAATATTTTTTCCAAATGTTTTTAATTTCTTGCTCTCTCTTCTCCTTTTGGCACACCTATGATGTGAGTGTTTGAATGTTTGAAGTTGTCTCAGAGGCTTTTTGCACTATCTGCATTCTTTTTTAATTCTTTTTTCTTTTTTCCATTTGATTGTATACTTTTTGCTTACTTGTATTTCAAATTGCTGATTTGATTGCAAATTACTCTTCATTTCAATTAGTGTATCCTTCATTTACAACTGGTTCTTTTTTTATGGTTTCTGTCTTTTTCATACTATTGAAGTTTTCACTAAGTTCCTTGAGCATCCGTATAACCATTGTTTTGAACTGTGTCTGGTAGTTTGCTTGTCTCCATTTCATTTAGTTCTTTTTCTGGATATGTCTCCTGTTCTTTCATATTGGATCTTTTTTTTTGTTTCTGCATTTTGGAAGCTTCCCTGTCTTGTTTTTATGTATTATCTAGAGCTGCTACATCTTCTGGACTAGCTGGAGTGGCCTTGTTTAGTAAGTGCCTGTAGGCTTCAGTGGCACAGCTTTCCCAGTCAACTGAGCTGGGTGTTCCAGGCACCCTGATGTGGACTGTGAGAACTGTACTTTTGTATTTGAGCTTTGATTACTGTTGGCATGTCACTGGGAGGAATTGACCTCCCAGGCTAATTGGCTGTGAAGACCAGCTGTAACTACAGAAGACCAGCTGCTGTACAGGAGCTGACCCTACAAAGCAGAATTTATTTTAGAGGGGCTTTGGTCATCATCTTGAGTGTGTTGTTTGTGGAGGTGGGAGGCTTTTAATCTAGTGTAGTCTGAAGCTGTTAACTTGGTACACTGGCTCTTAGGACTTCTGGGAGGCCCAAGGTCAAGGTCATCCACTGTCTATGATCTGCCTGAGGTACCTGGCATGAGCTACAGAGTGATCTGTAGATGGCTGTTACTTGTGCTGGGGTTGAAGGTGCCCAGGAGAGGCCAAGCAGCAAACCAAGGCTGATTGCTGCTAGTGTTGAGCCTGGGACCATTTAGCAAGAGGTACAGGGTACACAGAGGCTAGATGCTACTTGTTTGAGAGATTTTAGGAAAATCTGAAGCATGAGCTGCAATAGTCTATTTGTATGGAAAAGCCTCTGGAAACAGCTGAGGGGGACCAGCAAGTTTGGTGTGCCAGGGTGTCAGGGAATCACGAGGGCAGGGTGAACAGAGTGAGGCAGTTTGATGGAGACTCAAATATGGTGCCCACCTGCCTGCTTGGGCATGGGGGGACTGTCTCAGTAAAGAAACAATGGCTTTCACTAGCACTTTTTTCTAGCAATAAGCTGATACACCCCAGCTTTTGCCCTGATGCCAGACTATTCAGTTCCTGCCTGTGTGTCTTTGATTCCTTTCAAGCTGCTATCCTAGCTGTAACTCAGAGGGAGTGGCCATGTTCAGGCCTTTAAGGGGAACTGCCTGGGACTCCAGCAGCACTCCATCTCACTCAGCCACAATCTCCACTGGTTTGGATAGTAAGAAGCTATGTGGACTTCTCCTTTTGGCACTGGAACCCTGGCCTTGGTGGCCTGGTGTGGGGCTAGGACCCCTTGCTTCTCATGAGTAACCTCCACAGGAAAAGCATCTCTTCCAATTTTTATTTGCCACACATAGGTGTGGGAAAAGCCAATTCTAGGTCTCTGCCCCTCCTACCAATCTAAATATGGCTTCTTCTTTAAATCTCTAGTTGTAGGACTTCAATTCTGCTATATTTCAGGTGGTTCTGAATGATGGTTGTTATGTAGTTGTAATTTTATGTGGTTGTGGGAGTATCCTCATACTAATGATTTTAAGACCTCAATCTCCCATCAGATAGTACTCAAACCTGACTGCTCACAATAATTGCCTGGACCCTGTCCCAGGTATCTATACTAATAATAGAGGAATATGCAAATTAGCTGGGATGCCATCACATAACGATCAGGATGGGGGCGGGGCCGCAGCAGAGAGCTCTCAGCATGCCTGCACCAGGGGTCTGAAGGGCATGGAGAGAAAGGGAGAGCAGATAGGCAGTTAAGGGGATCAGGCCAGGAGGGGAGCACAGATAGGCAGTTAGGGTGATCAGGCCAGGAGGGGAGTGCAGATAGGCAGTTAGGGTGATCAGGCAAGGAGAGGAGAGCAGATAGGCAGTTAGGGGAATCAGGCAAGGAAGGGAGAGCAGATAGGGGTATCAGGCCAGCAGAGGAGAGAAGTTAGGCAGTTAGGGGGATTAGGCCAGGAGGGAAAAGCAGTTAGGGGGATCAGGCTGGCAGGGGAGAGCAGTTAGGGCCATTAGGCTGGCAGGGGAGCAGTTAGGAGCCAGTGGTTCCGGATTGTGAGAGGGATCCCGGATTGGAGAGGGTGCAGGCCAGGCTTAGGGGACCTGTCTCCTCCCCCTATCCCCCGTGCATGAATTTCATGCACCAACTGGGCCTCTAGTTTTGATATAATGGTCTCAGGTGGAGCCCAGGCATAGGCCTTTAAAAAATGTTCTTCAGTGAATTCTTGAACTCAAAGAACTAATCAAATAATTTTTCCAGGAATATATCTTTCTAAGAGGACTTCTGGAGTTAGATGGTAAGAAAATAAAATTTCCAACTTCTTACATATGATTACAACTTTATAATCTGAAGGTACATAGCTTATTTCACATTTATTTCAATGAATTTACAATTACTTTAGTTTTTGGATTTTTATCTCAATCCTTGGTAATATGAATTCTGGAATTTTCTATAGTTTTTCATCTGTATTATCAATGTACACAATCGATTGTTTTCTGACTTTATTTTTCATTTCCTTTTGAATTGTTTTAGTATTGTATCAACTTTACCTGTAGAGAGATTAGACACATGGTTGATTATTCTGCATGCAACAATACTAGAGACTGTAATGACAAGGGAGTAAGTAATTTCAATTTTCATTTTAAGCTACATGTTTTGAAAATTTAATAAACAGTTTAGAGATTTACAAAATCATTTGAATAATTTTCTAAATCATTTTTATACTACACAGTGCCATTTAATGATCTGTAATTTATAGCTTTAACATTATTTTACTAAGAAATCTTGCCAAACTATTTATTAAAGAAGATAAAGTAGAAACATTTAAGATAATTCTGGATGTATAAAATGTTTGGTAAATATGTGGGGTGGATGTGCTATAAGCACTATGTGTTACAAGATAACCAAAATCATATTAATTTTACAGAGAGAAGGCAGAAACTGGTAAAAAAAAGGGGGGGGTTATATGAATTTTCTTGCTAGTCTTGCTAGTTAATTTAGGGTCTGGCCTGTTCTGTGAAGCTAGAAAGTAAATGATAATTAATGGCATGTTACTGGTAATTGCCAATATTTGTGTTTGGCTACATGAAGAGTTGAAAGAATTAAAAAAAAATTAACTTGGTAACAGAAGCTAGATGTACTTTTTAAGGTATAGATACTTTCAAGAGAAAATTTGTTGAATTGTTTATTTAAGATCATTTTCTAGAATGGATAGCTTCTTTGGCATAAATTATCTGTTGAATAAGCATAGAATATTCATTTGTCTCTATTGTAAAACATCTTTGCACATAAAAAATTGTTCTATTTTCTGATTATTCTAGATTTGCAACAATTTCCAGCATTGCCATTGTGACAAAGGGTTTGCTCCTCCTTATTGCAAACCACAAAAAAATGCATTTGGAAGTCGAGATGATGGGCACCTATATGTTGATGGTTAGTGTCTTTATCTAATGAATATACATATATGCAAACCCCTTGGACATGGACAATTGTGTGAAGACCAATCAAGGGGAGGTGTGGGTGGATGAAGGTGAGCAAAGGGAAAAGGGAAGGAGGACACCTATATTTATGTCAATATTAAAATTTTTTAATAAAAAATAGAAAAATAATATGAAGCAGAATGAATTAAAGTATAGATTACAAACTAGATTACCAAAGAATTGAAGCAAAAAAAAGTTTTATATTTTTTCACCTTTCTAATTTTCATTCCCTTTATTTTTTTTAAATTTTATTTTATGGTTTAAGGTATTACAAATAGTAGTACATATGTCTCCTTTTTCCCCCGTTGACCTTCCCCTCACCCCACACCCCCCATCACATGCC